GCTGCTCATCATCTGTGCTGGCCTGGTGTTCCCTCTGTCACTGCTCCCCAGGATAGGTGAGGAGCACAGGACTGTGGGGGGGGGGGGCAGCGCCACAGCACCGTCTAGAAGAGTGGTGGCTGTGAATCATCCTCGACTTGGCCTGGTTTCAGTCGCTTAGTCCTCAGCCTGCCTCGCTAACTTACTACTTGACTTGTGGTAGCGTTTCGTCTGCCCCAGAAGGGCACTAAGGTAGAGCCTTCCCTTGCAGTGCACTGCCAGTGGCAAGCCAGTGCCCGTTCTGCTGTGCAGGACTGCATAATGATCTGTGACAGGCGGGCCTGGGCCCAGATGCCAAGCTGCAATAGAAAACATGCCACGGTGCGTGGCTGTTTGTGAGTCAGGGTCACTTGCCTTATAAATTGCTTTTTATTTTATTGGTATTTTACAGGCTTTCTTGGCTACACAAGCAGTTTATCATTTTTCTTTATGGTGTTCTTTGCTCTTGTGGTAAGTTTAAAATATAATGCATTGCTTATTTCTTCACAAAAATGCAGCTGTGTTAATGACAGCTTTTAGCTGCTTTGTACTAGACACAGTAACTCATTTTATATTATTAAAAGCACTGTTTTGGTTTTGAAAATAATTTAGGTCACAGGGTATTCATTTTGTCCATTTTAAAGAAGCTTAAAGTAGCATTTCAAATTTAGTGTTTTGTGGTTAGCAGAGAGGGATGCACAGCCCTTCAGTTGAGACTCTAGGTGGACTAGACCCTGGAGAGCCTAGCACTCTGGAGAAGCAGTAGGCCTGTGCCCTGTACATTCAGTTTAACGCAGCACTGCCTAAAGCTTTGTTCCATTACTGAAGTGATGGTTTCTGAGACTTGATTGAGTCCAAGGAGAAGTGGGATGTGAAGGGAGTCCTATCCAGTCTGCTTACTCAGCATAAAATGTTCTCGTAAACATTGTATTGGGAATAAATATTTTTTTCATATGCACAAAATGTATTTCTAGTTAGCGTGTTTTTATTATATATCAGATGATAGTTTGACTTATTTTATATTTATAAAATAATTTAGCATAAAAATAAAAGAGAATTTTAATTTATGGCCTTTTAATTCTTCTAAGACAGACGTGTCCTTGTGTATAATTTCTAAAACCTTTTTTCTTTGCACTGTAGTTTATCCTAGAGTAAGCACCTAAATGTCAAACCTTACAGGATTTTAAGCATTTTTAAGTTGCCAAGAATATACATATTCTAAGTAACCTAATTACCAGTAAATTGAATCAAGGGGAAACGTCACACATAAACACTTTATAGAGCCAGATTTCAGAGCTGTCCCACAGTCTCTGGACTGGGACGATAGTTCAGCTGATAGTGTCTGCCTTGTAGGTATGAGGGCTTGCGTTCAGTCCCCAGAACCCGTGTGAACAGTTGGGCATGTGGTATATGCTTGTGATCCCAGTGCTGGGGGAGTGGGTTCCTGGGCTTCATTGACCAGCCACCCTGACTTACTCCCACTCGGCACACTCCAGACCAATGAGAGATTGTCTGGGAAAGCAAGATGAACGGCTCCTGAAGAGTGACACCCAGCGTTGACTTCCACGTGTGCACACACAGCCACACACTGTGCAACCACCTACCACTACACACATGTACACACAAAGCTACGAACACAACCACATACACACCACACACACAAACACGCAACCACATACCCACTGGGTATATACACACCAATCATGTCTGCATTGCATTTATCTTTGGCTAAATCATCTGAGACACAGGATGAAACAACTAAAATACGTACATGTAACTCTTATTTCACTGTTCTAAACATTTTATTGTAAGGAATGTTCTTAAGGCTGAAAATGGTTAACAGTGCTTAATTGATTGTTGAATTCACCTACATTAAAATTATCCCTCCACCCACTCCAGTGTTATTCAGATAATGAGTTGAGCATGTATTTTTTAGGTTCTATACTTAGAGAGGAACGGTAAGTATTTTCATCATAAGGTAATTGTTGAAAAACATCTAAATGGTTAGAAGGTATCCCACACATACATAGAGTGTATGATTCTTAAATGAATGCAGATAATATACTGAATTTTCTCCTCATAGTTAATCAACAAGGCAAGCATTTCATAGGTAGAAATAATTCAGTTTTCACAGTCAATACCTTAACACAGGTGAAATGTATTGATACAATGTGTCTGTTGGAGTTTTTGTTTCTGTCATAGTAGATACTCTTTAATCTGATGCAGATTTCTGCTTCAGTAGTCATATGGAAATAATTCTCCTATGTTTATCGTGATGTTCTACAAATCATCTGCTTGGATTTTTACCCAGGAGAAGAGTTGAAATGTGACCTACAATGAGACTCTAGATTATGTTGGGTTTGTTTGTTTGTTTATTGCTGTCTTTGGTTGCCATATGTATTACAGGTTCTGTTTCTAGTGTTTTGTTTTGGTGTGTGTGTGTGTGTCTGTCTGTCTGTCTGTCTGTCTGTCTGTCTGTCTGTCAGGGTTTTCCTATGTAACCCTGGCTGGCCCTGACCTCACTATGTAGGCTAGGCTGGCCTAGAATTCACAGAAATCCGTGTGCCCGTGCCTCTACCTCCCAACAGCTGGGATTCAGGGTGTGCACCACCATGCTCAGCTAACTGATGTTTTTAAAAACATGTGCCGATATGTTCATTGATTATTTTTAGAACATGCGTGTCTAAGTCTTATTACGTTTATATTACATTTTATACAATCAATGAAGAAAATGTTTTATTTTATTTTCTTCCTTATGTTCTTCAAGCCTTGTAGACCAGTGCATCCCTACTAGTGTTCTCCCAGATCCTGATTCTCATTCAGAAAGTTAGCATAAATTTTCCCTGAGAGTATCTAAATTTAAAAATAAATCTCAATTTAGCAGTGGCTCAAAATAGCCAAACAGATGCTTTTATCCTCTTTTTAACTTACCTTTTTGGTCACCTTGAAACAAGTCACTAGAGTCGAGAGGAGGGAGGGGCTGCTGAGAGCTCTGTAAAGGGATTTGGAAAGAATTAAAGTGGGTGCTGACCTGCAGAGTTGGGCTGGGCTTGAGGGGGAAGGAGGGGGAAGGGCCTTTTGTGAGAATGCAGTATTTCTAATGCCTAAGGTCATTTTTTGGTGTCTCCCCATCCCCCAGAATTACCTTCTTACCCTGGAACTCTCTCCTCTCTTTTGGTGGGTCTCTCCCAATCCTCACCTCTCTGTATCTCTCACCACCCCATCCCACCATGCAGATTTGAAACCAGGACAGCCCTTTGCACAGGAATTAGCTGTAATAACGGAATTTATGTTAGTGTAAAATTAAGTTGATAATAATTCTCTCTAGTAAATGAAATAGGCTATATTGTATCTTGGAGAATCTTTGCAAGAATTTTGACTTGAAGGCCTCTGAAGCAGCAGATGACCAAGGAAAAAGAGAGGGAATGGTGCTCCCTTGCACTCAAGGTCTGCGCTCAGCAGTGCTGAGAGGCCCCAGTGGAGGACTCTGCCTTTGGAGTGACCTCGGCAGGGGCCAGAGAGACCGGCTTGTTCCCCTCTCACACACACTCCATCACTTAAACTTTTCAGAAAAAACCAAAACCAAAAAAAAGATAATGAGCTCTTGGTTCTGGTTTTGTTCTTTTTTGTTTATGGTTAAACCTGGTTTTATATTGCAAATGTAACCTAGAAATGCCCAGTTGGTCCTTAGCCACCCACCCCGTTTTGGGTGAGATTTTAAATTAAAAGTGACTCAGGTTCACTCTTTAACTTAATCCTAAAAGTGTGTGTTTTCTTTAGATTTATCACTGTATAAAATTTTGATTGAATTTGTTAAAATCCCAAACTAGATAAGTTCCAAATAGGAATGGTATTTACTTACTGGTCTCTTGCAAAGACAAATACTTCCTTTCTTCTCTCTGCCCCTTTGTATGCTGGGATTTAGCCCGAAGCAAATATTTACAGAGTAATTATGTGCCTGCAACAGGGCTACAATGGCCGTGTTGACACAGCCACCACTGTGGCTCTAGGAGCAGGATGGCCACAATTAAGATTCAAGTCCTGAACCGTTCGTTGATGTTTCTGGGAAACACCATCCCTCTGGGTTTCTTCGTAGTTTTTTAGATGTATTTTTACCAGCTGGAGCTCCCTAGCTCCACATTGACCAAAGGGGTGATAGTAGGTGTTCATCAGGTCACACTCGGCAGCGGAGTCCCTGCTCCTCTGCTCGCTGTGCTAGGCCTGTCTGCTTCTGACACAAATAATCATATTCTGTGCAATTGTCATTGAAAACATGCTTCCTTTTGAGTTGCACTTTAAAAAACAAACAAGCAAGCAAAAAAAAAAACAACAAAAAACAGGGTACTGTTGGAGTTTTAGGAAATTGACACAAGAGCTCACTAAGTCTTTCATGAGCCAGATCCCTCCCCCACATCAGATGCAAGGTACCCTGTGCCCTCCCTCTCCACCCAGTGACCCCCATGTTAAAAGGTAACCCCATTCTCTCTGGGGAAGACCAGAGCAGCAGGGATTCACCTGTTAGCCTCTTGTTCAGCATCATTTAAAATGTTGTTCTGGTTGAGATCAGCTTGAGATGAATTTTACTACAAATTATCTGAGTGTGATTGTCTTTACTTTCCAGACAGTGATTAAAAAGTGGTCCATCCCTTGTCCTGTGGCCTTAAGTGGCATCGACGGAGTGTTCCAGGTGATAGTTTTTAGGCTCTTTTATTTTTAATTTTTCAACTAAAAAAGAAATGGGAGATCAATGATTATTTTTTCTAATTAATGAAAAAGTTATGGTTGCATTGCGTTTTAGAACTGTGCTTTGAAGTGATCTGATTTGAAAGTGTAGTAGTAATAAATTCGTCATATTTGTTGCTGTATTCTGACTTTTAATAGCTATTGGTTTCTCTTTTCCCCTCCATACTCTTAAACAGATTTCCAATGCTACAGATGACTGTAAACCAAAGCTCTTTCATTTCTCCAAAGAGGTGTGTAACTTATTAACAGATACTTTCGGTTGATTTTTCACATTTCAAGTTTTAAGAGATTTGTGTAACAGGGTCTCTCAGGTCTTTATACCTGTAACTAATTAATTTTCATGAAAGTGCTAAGTATAGGATTGCCTACCAGAAGAATAATATTATTTAACACAGGGTGGCCCATTATGAAGCAGCCGCCTTTTTCTTTTCTTTCTTTTGGCGTGCCTTTAAATGGAGCCTGTTTTAAATGGGCCTTTGCCTAAAAGAACAGATTTACCAAATGTCTGGTCTGGCCAGTGAGGTCCTCTGTGGGTGCGGGTTTCCTGTTGCGCTCTGGACTTGTAAAGCTAAATCGCCAATTACATCAAAAACTTCTCCCCTGTGAGTAGGACTTTGGTCTCTAGCTAAACAGCCTCATCATTGGACCAGCAGTTGAGTACTGCCAATACTCCTTCTGAACAGCCTTCTGAGGGGAGATTTATGATGCTCAGAGCAGAGACCAGCAGACAAATCCCATGCCCAGTCTGAGAGCGCTGTAGGATCCTGGAATTGCCTGGAAGATTCTCTGAGCCTGAGCAGAGAAGCAGGAATCGCCGTCTGCGTGGTCCCTGCTTTGTTGTTTTGTAGGTCCCAGGCGCTAGGCTTTCCTACTCACTGCCCAGCTTTATTAGAATAGAATGCTAATGTGGTTAGTCCTCTGTGTAGAACTTTCCGATGTAGCTCCAGTTATTAACTAAGAAATGGCTCTCCGGCCTCACAAGGGAGGTCACCACATCTTTCACATGGCGACGCCCTCCACAGGCTTTAAAGATCTAGGTAGGATAATTGACAAGCTGGGAAACTGAACAGTATATGAATGTGTGACTTACACTCTCATCCCCTAAGGCAGCTTCGGGGAACACGACTTCCTAGGTACTGTATCCCAGCGTAGTTCCTAGGTACTGTATCCCAGCGTAATTCCTAGGTACTGTATCCCAATGTAGTTCCTAGGTACTGTATCCCAGCGTAGTTCCTAGGTACTGTATCCCAGCGTAATTCCTAGGTACTGTATCCCAATGTAGTTCCTAGGTACTGTATCCCAGCGCAGTTCCTAGGTACTGTATTCCAGCGTAGTTCCTAGGTACTGTATCCCAGCGTAGTTCCTCATCTGGAAGTTCTTTTGGTGAAGAGCCTAACACCGGCTAAGGGGAAATATTTTTAGACCAAAAAAGAGAAATCATTGCCATCCACTTGTTAAAGAGAGTACTTTAATTTAGAGGGTAACTTTGGCTTGCTAGTTTTCTCTGGCTCTTGTTAAATATTCTAATAATAATTTTTAAAGAAACTATAGGCTTATGTATTGCATGGGATCCCAAGAGTTTTTCAGGTCTAGAATTAATGATCTTTGTGTTCATTAAAAAAGATCTTGGTGAAGGATTCTGGCAGTACAAGATGTGGTTTCTATTTTTAGTACTTGCTTGCACTGAGTAAGTAAAAGCAGATTCAAAAGCATTGGTGTTATTGCTGCTTGGGGTAATGAGATGTATTTATATTGTGCATACCTTAATAATGACTGGAAATTATAATAAAATGTCTTTAAATGTAGCTACTTATATCTTATCTGAATTATTTTTATCATCATCCAAATAATGTAGAAGGTGGTGGTTGTAATAAAGCAACATGGTATTAGGGACCAGCCAGAAACAGCTCAGGTCAGAATAAACAAGCCACCTACCTGTAAGTTCCAGTGTTTGCTGGCGACTGTAGAGCTCCTCCCCTACCCCCTCAAAAGTCTAGTAAAGAGATCATTCATAAAAGATGAAATAAATTCAACCAAGTTGTTTTTTAAAGAGAACTTTATTTTGGGGCTGACAAGGTGGCTCAGTTGTGTTGTTGGGCCACCAGGCCCAATGACCTGACCCTGCACTCATGGTAGGAGAGTACTGGCTCCCAAAGTTTCCTTCTGACCTCTACAAGTGCTTAACAGCATGGGTATGAGCACACACATACATAAATTTTTTTTAATGTAATTAAACAAAACAAAACAAGTAGCAAAATGGAGTAGCTTTTAATAATTTTGTCTTCTAAAATTGTTTTCAGAGTATTTACGCCGTACCAACCATGGCTTTTTCATTTCTTTGCCACACCTCGATTTTGCCCATTTACTGTGAACTTCAAAGGTACTGTAGAATGCTGGGAATGTGCATTACCTCTGGGGCTTGCGGATTGGATCGGGTTCTCACTTAGAACCCTATTGCCGTGATTCTAAGCATCAGGTTAAGAAGCAGACAAGGCGGCCAAGAGCTAATTCTGTCCTCATTGAGCTTGTTGCCAGTGATGCCATCTTTGTCTGAGTGTCCACTTGTGAATGCTAATGTGTAGTCTTTGATGAACTCATGGCTGTCCAAAGAGTCTCGACTGGCCTGGGAGATGCTTGTTTCTTCAGACAGGATTCAGATCCCTGGCTCTATCAATGTCTACCATGTTTGTGTTTCAGCCCCTCGAAGAAGAGAATGCAGAATGTGACCAACACAGCAATTGCTTTAAGCTTCCTGCTTTACTATGTGTCTGCACTCTTTGGATACCTCACTTTTTATGGTGAGTATGTTCTTAACTCTAGGTGATGAAGGAAGCACAGGTGACCTCATGCCTGTAGCTGTCTACCCACCTTTCCCTAGTAAGTTTATCTGTCAGGCCACATGTCAGCACTGTGGCAACCTTGTCACCTCCTCTCTCTGACAGAGGTGAGTCAGACTTAAGAGTAATGACTTCATGAGAAAGTTCCCTTTTCCGAATTTGGTTTTTATTTTCAATTATGATGGTATGTATGTGTGTGTCTGCATGTGTGTGTATGTGCATGTGAGTTTGTGCATGTGAGTGGAGTACCTGTGGGAGCCAGAAGAGGGCGCCAGGTACCCGGAAGCAGGCATCTGTGAGCCACCCAACTTTAATGTTGAACTCCTGTTCTCTGTGAGAGTACTACATGGTCTTGATGGCCAAGTCATCTCTCTAACCCCTAAAATTTTTCTTAGACTTTTATGTCAAATTTCAAGCATACTGGTGTCTCGATAAAATAATGATTTGGGTCTTTTAAAATTGCATGTTCAGAGCCAGGCATGGTGATGCACATTTTTAATCCCAGCACTCAGGAGACAGAGGCAGGTGGATCTCTGGGAGTTAGAGGCCAGCCTGGTCTACATAATGAGTACCAGAGCAGTCAGAGTTACATAGTGAGACTGTGTCTCCAAAAAGTGGAAGGGGGAGTACATATTCAGTATGTTAGAACCTAGATGATAAGCTTAGAGGTTAGGAGAGTGAACCGTCTCAATCACTACAAGGCCAACTCCAGAAAGCACGAGACAGTACAGTGGACTCGGCTGTCAGACATCCCTGCCTTCCAACTTCATTTCTACAGCATGTGCTGAAGTGCATTACTGCCTCTGCTGTGCCATGATTTTTCTCTTTAAGTTCCTTAGACACTTGTAAAATTAGAAAGCATAAGCAAAATTCTCTTATTTATTTTGGAAGCGTTTCCCGCATAGTTTGTTGGGGTTTTTTTTTTCTCTTTCAACAAGATGTCAAGAACAAGAACAAAGCCTAGAACAAGAAAATATGAGCAACATTTGTGAACAATCACATCATGACACACGGCCACTCACCTCACCCATTTTGAATGTATTCTTCAGCTTATAAACATTTTTTTATAGTAACTGCAAGTGAGCAGCTGTTCCTTCTGGGGGATGCTTAGCCGTTGATGACCTGCTTGACGGCTTTGTGCACCTTTCAAGTCTGAGACTCCTGTGGTCACCAGCTGTGGGCCTTTATTAATGCTTACCTCCCAGTTTCCCCAAGCTCCATGTCTTTAGACAATGTCTTCTTATACCACTACATTTCCCAGGCCCGTTGGGAATACTGGTTTGGGGATCCAACAAATCTGGGTGGTGTAACTAACTGCCATTCCCTAACTAGCTCTGTGACCTTGAGGGGAGCCTCCACCTTAAAGCATCTTCAACTCCTAATCTATACTACAAGCATAACTGCATAGGGTTGCAGCGAGGCAGAAGTGGGTTCTATATAAATCCTGCTGTGGTATTGGGCACGTAATAGTCCTTCTTAAATGAGGGGCGCTGCTAGCTGAGCACTCTCATCACCCTACTATTGTAATTGTCTCAATTTCAGGGATCCTAGTTCAACATTATGCTTCTAATTAGTCTTATGTGTGTGTTGTATGTATGCCCAGGTACATGTGTACACATGTGAGGGTGGAGGGCGGAGGACAGCTGCAGGTGTCATTCATCAGAAGCCTTCCTCTTTGTTTTTTTGAGACAGGGTCTCACACTTGGCCTGGAATTTACAAGTAGGCTTTTGGGTTGGCTGGTAAGCAAACGGCAGGGACTGCACCTGTCCTCCTCCCTAGCACTGGGATTATAAGCACATACCACCACACCCAGATTTTGTTTTAAAGATGGATTTCAAAGATTGAATTCAGATCCTCGTAGCTGCAAGGCGACCATTCTCCTGACTGAACCCTCTCCCCAGCCCCTCATGTGTAATAATTGGTTCTTTGCAGTCATTCTTTTTTCCCATTGTTAATCATAACCTAGAAATGCCTTCTCTGTGGCCTTCCAGTGATACAGTTGGAGATGTTAGCAAGAAGTTTGGTAGGCCTAGCCTGAAGTTCAAGATTCTAATTCATCTTTTCAGGTTAGCAGTTTTATCCTAGAGAGGTAAGAGGCCTGTCATGGGATTAAAGGCAGCTTTCTGCATGCATGCCAGTGTTCTTGCTGCTACCTTATGGAAGTCTTCTTCAGACTTATATAATTTTAATTGAGCTATACATTTTTCCCTACTCCTCTTCCTTCCTCCCCTCTCCCCTTCCACCCTTCCTCTTTGTCCCCCAATTTACTCAGTAGATCTTGTCTTTTTCTCCTTCCTGTGTAGATCATGTGTGTCTCTTTTAGGGTCCTCTTTGTTGTCTAGGTTCTCTTGGGTTGTGGTCTATAGATTGGTTATTCTTTGCTTTATGACTTTACAAAAGCCACTTATAAGTGAATACATATTATATTTGTCTCTCTGGGTCTGGATTACTTCACTCAGAATGTGTTTCTCTAGTTCTGTCCATTTGCCTGTAAATTTCAAGATGTTGTTATTTTTACCGCTGAGTAATACTCCAGTGTGTAAATGTACTACATTTTCCTCATCTAGCCTTCGATCAAACATTCTCAGCCTTAACTGTGCCTAGAACTTGTCATGGTAGAGTCATACTGAAGCGTGTAGACCATGTAGTTGAGGTCGATGAAAGGGTCATTGATGGCAACAGTTTCCACTTTGCCAGAAGTGAAGGCAGCCATGGAAACCAGGTGTCCAGCACGGCCAAGTCCGTTCACTTTGACTTCGTCATCGTGTCTCTGGACCGAGGCTGGCACTGCGCCAAAAGATGTCTCTAGAACAGGGAGGAGCCGAGAGCCGATACTGATATCCAAAGCAGCTGTAAAAGTTTGCACTCCTACCAGCAATGGGGGAGTGTTCCCCTTACTCCAGCATAAGTTGTCACCAATGTTTTTGATCTTGACCGTTTTGACAGGTGTAAAATGGCTTATCAGAGCTGTTTTGATTTGCATTTCTCTGATGGCTAAGGATGCTGAGCATTTCCTTGAGGTTTTTTTTTTCCCATTTGAGATTCCTCTGTTGAGAATTCTCTGTTTAGGTCTGTACCCTATTTTTTTTTAATTGGATTATTTGTTGTTTTGATGTCTAGTTTCTTGAGTTCTTTGTATGTTTTGGAGATAAGTCCTCTGTCCGATCTGGGGTTGGTGAAAATCTTTTCTGTAGGCTGCCATTTTGTCTTGTTGACCATGTCCTTTGGTTTACAGACTCTTCTCAGTTTCAGGAGGTCCTATTTATTAATTGTTTCTTTCAGTGTCTATGCTACTAGTGTTATATTTAGGAAGTGGCCTCCTATGCCTGTCCGTTCAAGGCTGCTTCTCACTTTATCTTCTATGAGGTTCAGTGTGGTTGGTTTTATGTTGAGGTCCTTGATCCATTTGAATTTTGTGCAGGGTAATAGATATGGATCTATTTGCATTCTTCTACATGTTGATATCCAGTTATACCAGCATCTTTTGTTGAAGATGCTTTCTTTTTTCCATTTTATAATTTTAACTTTTTTGTCAAAAATCAGGTGTTTATAGGTATATGGTTGATATCCAGGTCTTCGATTCAATTCCATTGGTCCTCCTGTATTTTCATAGGCATGTCCTTCTTTAGGTTGGGAAACTTTTCTTATATGATTTTGTTGAGTATATTTTCTGTGCCTTTGACCTAGACTTCTTTTCTGTCTTTAATTATTATTATTTTATTATTATTCAATTATTGTTTTTAAGTTTAGTATTTTCAAGGTTTTCCATATTTTCTGGATATTTTGTGTTAAGAATTTGTTGGATTTAGCATTTTCTTTGACCAATGAGTCTATTTCCTTTATCATATCTTCTAGGCCTGAGATT